TTTGCTACCATTTTATCATAATGTACCAATAAACAGTAAAATATGGATTTAGCAACATTTTCAACACTTAGTTACATATATTTTTCAGACAGTAATGAAATTAAGTGCAATACGCCTGTGATAATGTGGTATATTTTGTACTAACAAAGTATATTTTAATAAAATCTCTTCCCTTGAATGTGCTTGCTTCATTTCATCAAATTTAATGACAGGCTCATAACATGGTGCAATATATACTGTATTAGAAATACCACAAAGTAGACTTCCCAGTAAACACCAGGTGAGAAGAAGGTGGAAGTTAAAACCACAGATACCATTCTAAAATGAAAATAGTACCATGCAAACTGATTCATGTGTGATTTATTCGCACATTTATTTGTCGCTGAACCGCATTAAATATTATTAATTTACCTAGAACGGCTCTAATACAAATGATGTAGTTCCGTCTCAGTCCAATAGATGGCGGTGAAGAGCCTTTTGAGTGCTAACAGTGCATGTTAGTTTGCGCAGAAGAAGATGATCTGGTGGGAAATTTGAGAGTGCGCGAGTGTTTTTCTATTAACCGAAAGAGCCCAATAAACAAACAGCACTCCTATATTTACTAATATTTACTGGAGATGGACCGGTATGTTTTAGTTATATCTTTTTGCCGAACTGATGACGAGTCGCCGGATGGTTTTAAATGTAAGTTTTCATTTAACTTGGAAACATGTAATACTTCCTCCGCCAGTACCTTAAAAGTGTGCAGACTTAGCCCGTGTTAGCTTTGTAACTGTAAACTTCTTCTGGCTGAGCTCTTAATATCGTCCTGACTTTGTTAACCTTTGTTCGTATACGTTTGTGTTTCACATTTTGTTTGTAATCACGATGGTGATTTGAAGAATTTGAAGAGTGAACTATGCTAGCAGCTTTTAACAAATTTGATTTGCTACTTGTTGTTCTTTTCAGTCTTAAATAAATCAGAAATCTGCTTGTGATGAATCCTGACAGCTCAGTTTTCACTGATCGCAGGTTTGGAGCCACTAAAGCAGATATATGGCAGACTTGTGGACATCTCCACTCAGGAGTCAGAGGTTTCTGTGTTTCCAGGTACAGTAACAGATAGATAACTTAGAGCAACTATCTATCTATCTATTGGTTCTAGATACTGCACATTAATCACTAATCAGCATCACTGTAAATGTTCAATTTTCAGTGGTCATTTCTTGGCCAGATGCTAAATTGGTCATCAAATCAGTCATAAAGGAACACCGTTTAAACCTATTTACGAATACATGAGGCGACAATAAGATAAAGCTCAAAAGAAGTAGTAGTTTGCAAAATAAAACATATACAAAGCAAACAGTTTATGTAAGACACTGTTGCATTGTCAGAGCTTCTGTATAGCAAAGTATTCTAGAGTCAAATGTGAATCCATCTATCTGACAGCTGAAGTTTGGCTCAAATTGGCTAATGCAACAGGACAATGATCCCAGGCACAGCATCAAATCTGCTTCCTCAGAATGGCTGAAAAAGAAAAGAATCAAGATGTTGCAGTGGTTCAATCAAAGTTCAGACCTCAGCCTGGCAGAAATCCTGTGGCAAAAACAAGTTATTTCCCTTCCTTACATCTTTCTCACTGCATGTTTTCCCAGCTTGTTCTCTCAGTGGCAGCCCGTCAGCTCGGAGGTGGTACTTTGCTGTTCAGGCTTGTCACGGAGC